AATTCAAGCCTCGACTTTCATTATTGAAAGATTCTCTGGGCAAATTATTGAATGATGCAGAATGCATCAAGAAAAGATGGAAGGAATACACAGAGAACTATGCTATGATCCAGTAATTCCACTCTTAGGTATGAAGTGGCTTCAAAAAGTTCGTGGAAAATTTCCATTATCTTTTAATTCCATTTTTCCATGAGCTTTCTGAAGTTCCCTCATATATACCCACAGTACTTGAAAGCAGAGACTCAGAAAAAATACACCAATGGTCATTGTAGCACTATTCACAATTACCAAAAGATGCAAACAATCTAAATGCCAATTGAGATAAACAGATAAACAAAACGTGATACATACAAACAATAGAATACTGCTCAGCCAGTCAGATAAAAGAAGTCTTGATACATCCTTAGGAGGAATGGAGCTTGAAGACATTGCTGTTGTTGTTAAGTGCTGATAAGTCAGTTCCGACTCATAAGTGAACTTATATAGGGTTTCCGAGCAGCAGTTGGTGAGCTTGAACTGCCTACCTTGCAGTTGAAACCAACCTTGCAGTCCAGTGCATTAACCTACTGAGCAAACTAACCTAATCACAAATGGACAAATATTGTATGATCTCACTTGCATAAAAAGACTCCTGTTGTTGTTAGGTGGCACAGAGTTGGTAATGACTCATAACAACACTATGCACAACAGAACAAAACACTGTCCAGTCCTGCACCAACCTCACAATTGTTGCTATATTGGAACCCATTGCTGCTGCAATTGTGCCAATTCATCTCATTAGGGGTCTTCCTCTTTTTCTCCGACCCTCCACTTTACCAAACATGATATCCTTCTCCAGCGACTGGTCCCTCCAAATTATCAGAGACAAAGTCTGGCCATTTGGCTTCCAAAGAGCGTTCTGGCTGTTCTTCTTCCAGCATACATTAGTTTGTCCTTTTGGCTGTCCATGGCACTTTTAGTATTCTTCTCCAACACCATTAACTTAAATGTATCAATTCTTCTACGGTATTCCTCATTCACTGTCCAACTTTAACAGGCATATGAAATTATTGAAACTACCATGGCTTGGGTCAGGCACACCTTAGTCCTCAAGCTGACATCTTTGCTCTTCAACACTTTAAAGAGGTCTTATGTGGCAGATTTTCCGAATGCAGTTCATCCTTAAATTTGATTTTAACTCAATTTCAGCCAGTTAGTACAGGCCTTCAGCCTTCAACATCCTTTTCCTAGGCCATCAGCTATGAGTTTGTGCTATCAACACTTCAGATAAACCTTATTTATAAATTTACCTAGAGATGCTGCCTATGTGGTCTTCTAGCCACCAAGCTCTCCTCATTTTACTCTAAATGCCAGGCTGCCTCTAGAGTAGTCCTCTTCAAAAACAAATCGAGTTCACCCTTATACATGTCCTTTTAATGTGATTACAAATTTAAATGTATCATCTTGATCACATGAACACAGCTTGTCTGTGACCTCTGCTTAAAAAACTTCACTGCCCAAAGGATAAAACATATACGTTAATTTAACTCAGTGTGGCCCCAATTTGTTTCTCATCTCCCATCATAGCACTACATCATCCTCTCTGTATTCCTGTCACACTTAAATCTTCACTAGTTCTCAAAGAACAGTTCTTGGTCTGTTCATGCTGTTCCCTGTTTCTGGAGTACTATCCTCACTCCCCTTACCTGTCTAGTAAAATCCTCCTCTCCCTTCAGAACTAATGTAAATGTTATACTCTAAGTCTTCTTCAACTGAATTAGAAGTCTTCCCTAGGGTTCCCAATCTACTTTATTCATACTCATTGGCATCAAATCAATCCCAACTCTTAGAACTGCCCCCTAGAATTTCCAAGGCTGTAATCTTTACACAGGACCCCTGGTGTGGCGCTGTAGGTTAATGCGCCAGACTGCAAAACTGTTTGAATAGCAAAGTCGGCGGTTCAAGCTTACCAGCTGGCTCCTTGGAAACCCTATACAGGGTCGCTAAGGGTCTGAATCAATTTGACAGCACTTAACAACAATAATCTTTACACAAGCAGACTGCCACATCTTTGTCCCGAAGAATGAATGGTGGGTTTGATCCACCAACTTTCCAATTAACAGCTGAGTTCTTACCCATGTGCCACCCAGGCTGCTACTTTGTTCAAACCACATGACATTTTAACGTAATACGTATTTACATGTCCATTCTAACCACTAGACCGTGAGCTTTCGTAGGAAAGATAGCATTATTCTTGGTCACCCTACAGGCCAGAACAACAGTGTCCACAGTCGACACTCAATAGATATTCTGAAGTTAAAGGACTGATGTGGGGATCAAATAAAGTAATTGTTATGAGCCATAATATGTTGGTTACAGTCAGATACTACAAGGGAGCTTCAAGAAGTTCATGAAAAATTCCATTCCATTATCTTTCAATTCCATTTTTCCAGGAACTTATCGAAACACCCCCATATTAAAAGGAGAATACAATTTTATACATACTATCTCTATTTATCCTCACAACAACCCTTGTCAAAATATGTGTTAACACTTCTACTTTGTAGAAGAGGTACCTCAGGCTCAGGGAGATTTAGTAACTTCCCTTATGATCAGGTATAAATATCAAGATTTGAATCCAAATTTCCATATGATTTTATTTCTTCAATATAACTCAAATTCATTTCTCCAGCTTATTATTACCTTGATTCAGGCTCCCTTCTTTCTCAGAAGTTACATCATAAAAGCACTGACTTTTAAGTCAAATGTTAAGCCCAGCTGCTGTTTATTGGCTGTCTCATTTCCCATTTGGAACTGAGAGATACTAGTCATCTTCAACAGTTGCGATAAGGATTAAAGAAAACATCCTGGCTTCTACGGAACATGCCGGCTGTGCTTCCAACACATATATGTTCTTTTGGTAGTTCATGGTACTATTAAAAAATTCTAAATAAATACTTGCTGTATTAAATTTAAGGAGCCCTGAAGCATTGCCTTGCTAACCCCAAGGTTTGTGGTCAAACCCAACACCTGCTCCGAGGGAGAAAGATGGGGCTGTCTGCTACCGTACACATTCACAGTCTCAGAGACTCTGTTGAGCAGTTCTACTTGAAAAAGAGGAAGACCCCCAACGAGATGGATTGACCAAGTGGCAGCATCGATGGACTCAAGCCTGGCAACAGTAGTGAGGTTGGCCCAGGATCGCTATGGGTCGGTACCCACTCGATGGCACCTAACGACAACAACAACTTGTTCTATAAGGTCGCTATGAGTGGCAGTGGGTGGGTGGACAGTAAATCTAATCCCTTCTCCACAGCTTCCTGGTCCTCACACCATCACATCCTCTTTCTTCCATTCAATCGAATCTAGTATTATGCCTTCTTTATGCTGGGGGATCTCACTACCATCAAAGAAGAGCCAGGAGTGGAATGCCTCCTTTGAGCCCATAGGTCCCGGTGCATTGGAACTCTTTGTTGTTTGGACTCCTGGCATGGTGCGGTAGAATAAACACACAGAGGACTAACTGCAAGATCAGCAGTTCAAACCCACCAGCCACTCCTCAGAAACCCTACATTGGGTCGCTGTGAGTTGGAACCGACTGGGCAACACTTAACAACAACAGCCCTAGGTATGAAAACGCCTCCTTTGACTCTGTTTCTCCTATGAATTACGATCTCTTGTGTTGTTCTTCACTGCCTCATACATAATTGTTTCTCAATCTGTCATCTTCTCAGGTACAACACATTTTATTTTTCTCAGAACCCAAAACTCATGTTTCTACTTAGCTCTTATACATGCATGTCCTTTCACTGGGATTAGAAATTTAACTGTATTTTCTTTTAAATACAAAAGCTGAAATGCTTCTTGTTCACAGCCAAAACAGAGCAAAAAACAGAAAGAATGGTTGTTGTTGTGGTGAAGTGCCGTTGAGTCGGTTCCGACCTTGCAGCTCAAATGTTTTATTATCCGAAGGAATATTTCCCTAGCTTTTAAAACAGTAAAAATGTATTACCTGAATAAGAATTAAGAGAAACTGTCCACCGTACAGTTAGTCCTATTAAGACCACTATGGTCATCAAATACCATTTCTCCATTGTTGTTCTTCAAATATACTGACGCAAAAAACAGGACCAGTGCCAGAATACTTTAAACACACGTAGTCAGTCACTTCTTTTCTTGATCAGAGAAATGCTAGCACTTCTTTGGAATTAGGAGCTTGAGAGAATTTCAATCAAAACTGGATGTTTCTGTCTATGAAGATGGAGCCTGAGGGGGAGAAAAAAAGATACCATGATTTAACTGAGTAATCCCCATAACAGTGAACCAAACAGAGAAAGAGTGAAGAATGCAAAGAGGGCTGAGAAAATAGTTTTAACTTTCTTATTCTCTAGTTATGTAGTTGGTACTCAGTATAGGAGTCCTGGTGTGGCACTGTAGGAAAAGTGCAGGACCGCAAGGTCAGTTTGAACCAACCACAAGATTGGCGGTTCAAACTCACCAGCTACTCCTTGAAAAGCCTATACTGGGTTGTTATGAGTCAGAACTGACGCTATGGCAACACTAACAACAACAACAGGTATCTCCTGTTTTTAGAAGTTTGCTTTACATTTACACCACTTTACTTCTACCAAAGATCTACATTAGTATCTGGTTTCACTAACCAAAATAAATCCAAAGAAGTTTTATGAAAAAAGGCAAAAAAAATGTGAAGCTAGCATTCAGCATTTGTTTTATAGCAAGAGACACTAAAGTCCTTCCCCAGAAGTCAGCATCTCAGCTGTCCTATCTTTCAACTATGTCTATGAACATTTTCTGTTATTTTAGGTCTTATTATGTTATTTGATAGGGTTTGGTGGGTGATTTTAGGAGTCTAGGAACACTCAAAGATTTTTCCCATATAAATTAATGGTACTTCCTTCTTCACTTTATACAATTCAACTTATGAAAGGTTTCAAAGAAACACTCTATTTTCAGTTAGCAGGGAAAACCTGTATGTCTAAAAAAACAGTAAGGTAAGAATTTTCTCTCAGAAGGGCATAATTCTGAGAGTAGAAAAACAATAGAAATATGCAGATAGTTCAAGAGTCAATTCTATCTACAGCAAGCTCACCATATTTTTCTTTATACCATAAAGGTAGACAAATGTGTGATTTACCGTTAGTACCAACATAAAGAGAACAATTTGTGTCTCTATATTTAGTTTGGGAAAAGTCTTCTATTAAAGTCAGTCTGGGTTTTAACTTACTTTTCAAAACATGCTTGTACTAGCCACATCAACCTCACACCTCAGATAATGAATGTTTGCACAACTCAACAAGAACAGTCCCAAATCTTAAAAGGACATAGAAAAGCAGTAAAACATATTCAAACACGGAGATACATTTTTTTTCTTTTCATGTTTCCCTTTGGTTGGGGGTTTGAAAGTGAAAACCAAAGTGACATTTTTGTCTCTTTGAAAAAGAGTGGGTTATTTTAACCACAGGATATACTTTAAGTATATTCCGAAATTTTAAATAACAAATCAACAGTAACTCAAAAGATTAGATAGGGACCATTGTTGTTGTTGTTGTTGTTGTTGTTAGGTATCTTTGAGTCAACTCTGACTCACAGCAACCCTATGCACAAGAGAACATAACACTGCCTGGTCCTGCCCCAACCTCCCAATTCTGCTTGAGCCCACTGCAGCTGCCACTGTGCCAATCCACCTCATTAAAGGGTGCCCCCTTTTGTGGTGACCCTCCACTTTACTAAGCATAGTGTCCTTTCCAGGAGCTGGTTCCTAATGATAATATGCCCAAAGTATGAGAGATGAAGTTCTGCCATCCTCACCTCTAAGCAGCACTCTGGCTATACTTCTACCAATACAGATTTGTTTGTTTCTCTTGGCAGTCCATGGTACTTTCAATATTCTTGCCCAACACCATAACTCAAATACATCAATTCGTCTGTGGTCTTCCTTATTCATTGTTCAACTTCCACATGCATATTGAGGCTATTAAAAAGATAATGGCTAGGGCCAAGTACACCCTAGTCCTCAAACTGACATCTTTGCTCTTAAAAGCTTTAAAGAGCCTTGTATAGTAGATTTGCCTAATGCTTTGGTTTCTTGTCTGATGCTACCATGAGTGTTGACTGTGGATTCAAGCAAAATGAAGTCTTGGACAGCTTCAATCTTTCCCTCTTTCATCATGATGATATATACTGGTCCAGTTGTGAGGAGTTTTGTTTTCTTTACATTGAGATGCAATCCATACTGAATATTGTGGGCTTTGATCTTCATCAGTTAAGCATTTTAAGTCCCCTTCCCTTTCAGCAAGCAAGGTTGTATCACCTGCATGTTGAAAATTGTTAATGAGTCTTCCTCCAATCCTGATGCCACATTCCTCTTCATGAAATCCAGATTCTTGGATTATTTGCTCAGCATGCAGATTGAATAAGCATGGTGAAAGAATCATAAGGGTCAGCGCTTATGTTAATAGAGACAGGCTAACTTAGAAAAGGAAGGTAACCCGAACTGGAAAATATAATCAACATCACCGAATTTTACGTATAGAAACTATTGAACTGGTATATTCTTGCTTGTATATTCTCAACAGCAAAAATAATAAATTATTTTAAGTCAATAACTCACAATTGTGAATAATCATATTAAAATATTTTCCACCCACTGACAGTGAGTCGATTCCAACTTTAGCAACCCTATAAGACAGAGCAGAACTGCTCCTTAGGATTTCCAAGACTATATCTTTATGGGAACAGACAGTCTCAGCTTTTTTCCACAAAGCAGATAGTGAATTTGAACCACCATTCTTGAGGTTAGCAGTCTAACATTTAACCCACAGTTCCATAATATTTCCCACAGGAACTTTAAATAACAAAAATTAGACTCCCAATAACATTTACAATGAGCATACTGCTTACAATCGATATTCTGATCAAGCTTGCTAACAGCACAATGATGACAGGTATTACTAAACAACAGGTGATAAAATGCATAAAGACTTTGGCAGCATCTACGGGTGGACCAAATCTAACTCTAGAAATCATGACAGATCATCTCAAAATCCAGCACTTAAGTATTTTGTTTAAACTCCATTTCATGAATACTGAATGGGAGGCAATTACATGAGTACTGAATGGGAGTTAATGGATAACGACTGACAAGTTTCAGTTTTATGTCGGCATAGAACTGATGACCATTACAGGTAATTAAATTAAATTAAATATTTTTTGCTGTTAGGTGCTTTCAAATCAGCTCCAACTCATAGTGACCCTATACACAACAAAACAAAACACTGTCCAGTCCTGCAACAACATCCTCACAATTATTGTTACACTTGAGCCCATTGCTGCTGCCACAGTGTCAACCCATTTCCTTGGAGATCTTCCTCTTTTTTCACTTACCCTCCCTCTTTACCATGCATGATGTCCTTCTCTAGGGACTGGTCCCTCCTGATATATGCCCAAAGTAAGAAAGACGAATTCTCACCATCCTGGATTCTAAGGCGCCTTCTGGCTCTACTTCTTCTAACACACATTTGTTTCATAGTACCTTTAATATTCTTCTCTAACATGATAAATCAAATTCTTCTATACTCCTTATTCACTGTCCAACTTTTACATGCATATGAGGTTACTGAAAATGACATGGCTTGGGTCAGAGGTACTTTAATCCTGAAACTGACATCTTTGCTCTTGAACACATAGAGGCCTTGTGCAGCATCTTTGCCTAATGCAATACGTCGTTTGATTTCTTGACTGCTCCTTCCATGAGTTTTGATGGTAGATCCAAGCAAAATGAAGTCTTTGACAATTTCAATATTTTCTCCATTTATAATGATATTATTTACTGGTCCAGTGGTGAGGACTTTTGTTTTCTTTTTTTTTAATGTTTTATTGTGAATTATGTGATAGTTTACATGGGAGAACATTAGTTTTACATTCATTCTATCGTATATCGTCTCATTGCCATGGTTACAATCCCCTCCATACAATCCTTCCCCTGTGCCCCCCAGGTCTTCAGCACACAGTTGCTCTCTCTCTCTGCATCTAAAGTCTCCAGCTGCTCCATCGCTCCACTTCATCATCTCTGGCTCCATTTCAGGCATCACTGCTTCTCTGGGTAGGGTCCCGCTCTCTGCTCTTCTCCCTTGACGGTCCTAGGGACCTCCGCTCCTAGACTGAAAAGTTAATTACTCCCCTCCTTGCTATAAAACGTCTACCTTTATATTTCCAATTCTCACAATCAGTCCTGATAACAATTATTCACTATTGTATCACAAGAGACCCTTCTGCATTTCATTGCATCAGCCCTGCCGAGTCAGATTGAATACTACTCACCGGAGATTCTACCTTCCTCCAGGCCCTCTGGATCTAGGTTCCCCCTTGAAAGCTTGTAAGGCAGTCACTTCTTGCCTTTGTAGCCCCCCGCCCCCCATTTTGGGTAGCCAATGTCCAAGTTGCCCATCCCTGTCTACTCTGTGTGTGGAGGGGGTAGGAATGATTCTTGCTGTAAGGATTTATTCCCTCTTTTGAGTTACTGCTTCCATAGGTGTAGGTCAAGTTCATCACATTGTATGAGAATACTTTTTTTTTTTTCCTCTTCTTTTTATTTCTGGTTGACTTTTGTTTTGACACTGAGGTGCAGCCCATACTGAAGGCTGTAGTGTTTGATCTTCATTAGTATTTTAAGTCCTCTTCACTTTCAGCAAGGAAGGTTGTGTCATCTGCATATCATTAAGTTGTTAAGTGCTGTGGAGTGGGTTCCTACTCATAGCAATCCTAGATAAGGTTTCCAAGGAGAGGCTGATGGGTTTGAACTGGGTACCTTATCCTACAGCACCACACCAGGACTCCTTTTAGCAACTGTTGTTGTTAAGTGATGTCAAGTTGGTTCCTACTCATAGCGACCCTGTGGAAAGTTTCCAAGGAGCAGCTGGTGAGTTTGAACCGCCATCCTTGTGGTTCAAATTGACTTTGCAGTACAGTGCTTTATTCCAGTGCCACACCAGGACTCCTTTAAAGCCTTTATTCTTAGAATAAAATCTAAATGTTCCAGGCATAAAACTTCCTGTGACCTGACTTCTGCCTACCT